GCTCCTGGGTTCAATCCCTGGTACAAAAACAAAGTACACATGCCTAGGGCCCAACTGAAATCCACTGAATCAGAACTTCTGAGTGTGGAGCCAGGGAATCAGAAATTTCTAAAAGCACTTCCAAAAGATTCTACTACACACTAACTTCTAAGGAATAATGAGAATAACCCTCTAATAGTCACTAATTCCTATAATACCTCTCTCCCCAAGTCATAATCTTAATCAAAAGCTGACGGAGACACATGGTAGAAAGGAAGCTCTATCACGTATGTGTAGGTTTTAAAAGATAGACATACAATTAAACAAGATCGACTAGTATAAAGAATCTCAAGAAGGGTTCTTTCCCCCTTCACTTTATCACAGGTAAATATAGCTCTTTATAGGTGACATAAGTCTTCTTCCCTTTAAGATAAAGATAAAGGAAAGAAGCAAACACTTTTATGTCATCAAGAAATTTCCAGAATTTGTACCTCCCCATACACACACCACAGGCAGAGCAATGTTATAAACACTGACATCTGTTTCAGTAATACATGTCCAACTAGTGCCCACACAAAGTTTACAGAATCTCCAGTCATTCAAATTCCTTCCCCTAAGCCAAAACAACCATTATGAATAATTCGGGGTGATACTTTGCTTTTTATCACCAATATCTCCTTCATATTCCCATATTAGCTCATATAAATCAACCCCCTTCTTGTTAGCGGCTTCACAGTATTTCTTTGTATGTCAAGAAATACTGTAATTTATTTCAGCAGTCCTCCAGTAAAGGACATTCAGTTTGAGTTTGTTTTACATTTAATTTTGTTGAGGAATTACACACAATGCTATGAAGAATATCCTTGTACATTTGCCACTGAAAACTTGTAGCTAATATATCTTTGGGAAAAAAATCTTAAACATGGAATTCCTGGGTCAAAAGGTGTGTGTACTTTAAATTTTTAAAAATAATGCCAAACTATACTAAAAACTCATTAAATAAATGAACATTTCCATTAAACAAGTGTAAGTATCCCATATCTCTAACTCTGGCATTATCAAATTTCCTGGGTTTTTTAAAAAACAAACCTAATATTTTATTTGCACTTACAATTGAAGCTAAAAGTCTTTTTTTGGGGGAGGGGGGTTGCTTTTTCCTTTGTACATGACATGCTACTATTTCACTAATTTTTTGTTTTGTTTTTGGTACTAAAGATTGAACCGAAGGATGCTTTACCATTTAGCTACAATCCCAATCCTTTTTTGTTGCTGATGATCTCACTAAGTAGCTGAAGCTAGCCTTGAACTTGTGATGCTCCTGCTGCAACCTCCCAAATCACTGGGAGGTTGCAGCAGGAGCATCACAAGTTCACCATGTACTACCATGCCCAGCTCTACGATGCCAATATAAAAACTGTCTTTATTAGTGCATTATAGCTATATATAATCGTGTGGCTCATTTTGACATATTAATAAATGCAAATAACACAATTTGCTCCATTTTAATCCCCAGTGCTTCCCTTTTCTCTTCCCTCCTCCCTCCCCCAGATCACTTTCCTTTACTCTACTGGTCTATTCTGCAAACTTATGTTAGACTGTATTCTTTCTTTTTACTGATTTTAACACTATTTTTTTTTTTTAGAAAACTTGTTCTTAATATGTATATAACAAGTATACCTTTTCCCCAATAGACCTTTTACCTATGTCTATTAATTTTATTTAAAGAATGCTTTTTTGCCATACAAAATTAAAAATCATACGAAGTAAAAATTTTTCAGATCTTCTTTAATGTTTTCTAGCTTTTGAACACTGCTTAGAAATTACTTTCTGTTACACAAGATAATGAGCATATGTGATTCTCCTAGCACTTTTACAGTCCCACTGATAATCTGGAATTTATTTGGGGGTAGAGAAAAAGGTAGAGAATCCAGTTTTGTTTTGTTTTTCCATTGCCCCATTAGAGCTACCCAGTTTTCCAAGACCATTTACAAGTAAATCATTCCTTCCATCTACTGATATGAAATGCATTCATTATCAAGGTCATTATTATCATGTATTATTTCTACAGACATCTCAGTATGAATTTTCTCTTTTGTTCTATACTTAGTTTTTCTATCCCTGTACAGATACAAATCACTTATTACTGTATATTAGTATACCTATAAAAAATCTTGTTAGGCTTTTTCATTACATTTTTCTCCAGAATTCATGTTGAATCTAGAAAAAATACATCATCTAGAAGAAACACAGAGTTCTTCCTAGGTTTCCTCCTACATTTGGGGGATTATAAATGTGATTACATTTAATTTATGCATTAATTGAGAAAAGAATTCATAGCTTTCCCATTTTGGTATTACCAGTAGCAACAATAGCAGCAGTATGTAGTGATACACGATTACAGCAAACAAGTGTTGAGCGCTATGTGCCAAGCCTACTCAATGTGCTTACTTTAATATTTTCAACACCTTTGTACAGAGTGTCATATCTTCATTTGATAGATAAGGAAATTAAGGCTCAAAGAGTTGAAGCAACTTGTCCCAGGTAACAACTATTAAGAAAAGTAGCTGATATTTTACCCTGTGTAATCTGAGTTAGATCCACACTCTGAAGAATAAAGTACCTGAAAACAAAGTGTCTTTCATTTATTCAACTGTCCATTTCAACTGAATTTTACTTTTCTTCTTTTAGGCCCTGAATAATAGTTGTTTGGGTTAACTCCTTGGTGAATTTATTTGTCATTTTAAATGGGCCCTATACTTTCATTTTATTTCTAACTTACTATGGTTTGCATTTTTTAAAAAAACCCTACCAATTTTAGAACATTAACTATGGATGTGTCTGCCTTACAGATCTCCCATATTGTCTTGTACCATTTTTTAGTTGATAATGTAAGCTTTCCAAATATACAGTCATATCATTGGCAAATACTTATAACTTTAATGCACTTTTTCCAGTATTGATATTTCTCAATGTCTGGATCAATCTTTCATGCCTTATGGCATATAACTCTTTTGCTACTATATTCCATTTTTAATATTTTCCTTATAATTATTGCTTAAGTAAAACCGGTCCTTAGCTTTTTGGGGAAGGTTTGGTATCAATGATTTTTTGTCCATCTCATGTCTTTCATCCTTCCATTTGCTTTGGAATAGTTTAGCATTGAAATAATCTTATCCTTTAAATTAAAATAATCCACCTGTGAAACTGTGTAAGTTTAGTGCTTTTATGATACTTGCTCAATTTCTTCTTCAACAGTTATTGCCTATTTAGATTTTCTATTCTCTGGGGTAAATTTTGATCATTTATATTTTCCTAGTAAATTCTTAAGACTTATTTTAAATGATATTGAATAATTCTTACTTGCATAAATCTGCAATAATTTTGTCTCACCAAAACTGAAAAATATGAACAAACATATAAATCAACATTATTGGAAAACACTCACAGCCAGGATGAGTTAAATGTGTCAAACTGGGAGCAAATACTGGTATACAGCTTTTTATTCAGGCCATGGGTTTTGAAAAGAAATCTTTAAACAGAGCTTTATAAGTAATGAACTGCTACTAGGATGTTCATACCCAGAGAACTGTGAATAAAAGAGAAATTAAATCAACACTACTATGAACTGCAACGGATGCATATTTCTTGCTATAAGATAGGGAATGGTTTGAGTCAAATAAATACTGTATCTGTTGAGTATTCATAAAATACAACTTATAATAACAAAACTGGGTAAAATGTTCTTAAGTGTTACTTCTCCAGTTATCTACACTGTAAAGTAGCCTAAGTATCAAAGTATATGTGAGACATTTTTCTCTCACATTTATTTATTAGAAGCATCATTTTCAAACATTTAATAAACACTCACTGCCAGGGGCTATGGTACATGCCTAGACTCCCAGCTACTGGGAATGCTAAGTCACCAGGATCATTTCAGCCCAGCAGTTTAATCAGCCTGGGCAACAAGAGAGACCCACATCAAAAATAGTAGTAGAAGAACTCACTATGAGCTGGACACTATGTCAGAGATATAGAAATAGTTAAGACATGGTCCCTTGGCTCAAAAGACTTAATATTCCCCTTCACCCCTAGAACCAGCATGATATACTTATAATATATTCAGGGTTGTACATAAAAACCTCAAGAAATACAGCCACACTAGAACCTTGCTTCATAAACCGTAAGAGTTTCATAAGAGTTGAAAATTAAATATTGAATAAGCTAATGATACCAATATCCATAATCTTTGAATTGCTACCTCAAGTTTATATTAATGTTAAATCCTTATGTCTCCAATTGAGTATAATTTTCCTTTCTACGATAAGGCTTAGATATAGAAACAAGATATTAAAATTTCAATAAGGAAGAAAGCGACAACAGAAAAACAATGAGCTAATTTTTTAAAAATATTACACATCAAAAGGATCCTCTACATTAATATTCGAATGTTAATGAATATACAGGCATGGTGGTACAGGCCTGTAATCCCGCAGCTCCTTAGACTGTGGGATCACAAGTTTAAGGATAACCTCAGCAATTTAGTGAGACCCCATCTCAAGATAAAAAAATTAAAAAGGCCAGGCACAACGACACACACCTGTGATCTCAGTGAGTTGGGTGGTTGAGGCACCAGGATCTCAAATTTGAGGCAAGCGTCAGCAACTGAGTGAGGCCCTAAGCAACTTAGCAAGACCCTGTCTCAAAATAAAAAATAAAAAGGGCCAGGAATATGACGCAGTGGTAAACCACCCCTGGGTTAAATCCCTACTACCAAAAAAATAAAATAAAAATAAAAAGGACTGGGGATGTAACTCAATGGTAAAGCACTCCTGGATTCATCCCAGTGCCCCTCCAAAAAAAGAATAATAAAGAATAACCAAAAAAAGTTTATGTTTATATCATTATCCTTAAAAAAAAAAAAAAAAGAAAAAGAAAGAAAGAATCTTATCTAGAAACACTATACACCATGTCTACATTCCAACAAGATACATAAGCAATATATTTAGATGGCATTAACATACCTGTGCACATGATTCTTCGGGTGTTTTGGCACTGACTGAATAAAGTGCTGGGAGATCTAGTCTATGCACAGAGAATCTTTCTAGAGTATGCAAAAGTGCTGGAGCAAGGTGAGAAGTTTGACCTGAGCCTCTTTCTCCAGATAGCAATAATCGTGGCCTGTAAGAGGTTGGCTGATGGTATGGTGACCTGTAATACATGTAAAAACATAATAGTGATTTTAAAACTATACATTCTGAAGATCAATGTGAGAATAGTAGGAAAATACATTAAAAGAATTAAACTATAAATTAAGAAAACTATATTATCTTTTTTAGTATAATGATATTTTTCATTAACTCCGATTTTAAAATATTGACTATGTTTGACAATTAATAACTAAGATGTTAAAGAATAAAATCCATTCCATGGCAGTTATCAAGAATACAAGCAATAATTAGTGTTGGAGATGATGTGGAGAAAAAGGTACATTGCTGGTGGGACTGCAAATTGGTGCAACCACTTTGGAAAGCAGTGTAGAGATTTCTCAAAAAACTTGGAATGGAACCACCATCTGACCCCGCTATCCCATTCCTAGGTCTATATCCAAAGGACTTAAAATCAGTATACTATAGTGACATAGCCATACCAATGTTTATAGCAGCTGAATTCACAATAGCTAAATTGTGGAACCAAGCTAGATGCCCTTCAATAAATGAATGGATAAAGAAACTGTGGTATATATACACAATGGAATATTACTCAGCATTAAGAGAGAATAAAATTATGACATTTGCAGGTAAATGGATGGAGTTGGAGAATATTATGCTAAGCGAAGTAAACCAATCCCAAAAAACTAAAGGCCCAAAGTTTTCTCTGATTAGTGGATGCTGATCTATGATGGGGGGCGGGGGACATGGAAAGAATGGAGGAGCTTTGGATTGGGCAAAGGGGAGGGCAGAGAGGGGTTATGAAGACAGAAAAGACAGTGGAATGAGATGGACATCATTACCCTAAGTACATGTATATTTACACGAATGGTGTGTCTCTATATCATGTACAACCAGAGAATTGAAATGCTGCTCTCCATTTATGTATGATGAATTAAAATGCATTCTGCTGTTATGTACATCTAAGTAGAACAAATAAATAAATACATAGATAAATAAATAAAATCCATTCTAAAGGAAAGAAAAGGTACCTTGGTTTTCATCCTGTCATACTGTGTGTATTAATGTAAAGAGTGGAAAAGACTATGTCATTTAGTTATTAATTATCCAAGGTCAAATGTTAAGAATTTCAATTCTCAAACAAGTGGGGAGATCTGCAAATTATCCCAAATATAAGACTTTTAAAAATCAGTTAAAATAGTAAATTTTATTCTATGCATTATTTTCCCAATTCTATGGTATGAATGTACCCTCCATGAATTTAATATTGAATCTTAATCATAAGTGATAAGTATTCAGAAGTAGAGCTTTATAATGTGATTACATCACGAGGACAGAGCCTTATGAAAGGGCTCAAGAGAACTAGCTTGTCTGTTTGGTCCTTTCCACCATGGAGAACAAGCATTCAAGATGCTGTCTTAGAAGCAGAGACTGAGCCTTTACCAGACACTGAACATTATGCTGCCTTAATCTTGGGCTTCTCTGCCTCCATAAGTGTTAACAATAAATTTATGCTGTTTATAAATTGCACAGTCTAAAGTATTTTGTTAGAGTGTCAAGAGTAGTCTTAAACCATCATAATTTTAATAACAGAAAAGAAGGCTTTTGCAGCTATGGCAAAATTTGTTTATGTCACAATATAAACTAATTGTTCTTATTCTAATATATGACATATAAAAGCCATACACTAGAGAAAGAAAATATATTAAATCAAACTTAATTTGTAGTTTGAAGATTCTACAAAATGATTAAAGTAACAAATGAAACACATTCACTGGAGTTAGCACTGGGAATTCTAAGGTAATACAATAAGAATAAAGCAAAATGAAAAAGGAATAAAAAGAAGTAGGGAGCTGGACACATGGTTCAATGGTAGAACACTTGCCTAGCATAGTGAAAGAGAAAAAAAAAAAGGTTAAGAAAACCCTGACACCATAATCTTAAAGAATCTTAAAGAATAAGATTATGCCCTTTAAAAACAAGGAAAAAACATTAATTACATCAGGAATTACAAACAACCTGAACACAAAGACTAAATATACAAAGTCTTCCTCATCATTTATATTTTATTTTAAACAACAATTTCTTTTTTTTTTTTTTTACTTTTTTTTATTGGTTATTCAAAACATTACAAAACTCTTGACATATCATATTTCATACATTCTATTCAAGTGGGTTATGAACTCCCATTTTTACCCCAAATACAGATTGCAGAATCACATCGATTACACATCCACATTTTTACATAATGCCATATTAGTAACTGTTGTATTCTGCTACCTTTCCTATCCTCTACTATCCCCCCTCCCCTCCCCTCCCATCTTCTCTCTCTATCCCATCTGTGGTAATTTAATTCTTTCCCTTGTTTTTTTTTTTCCCCTTCCCCCTCACAACCTCTTATATGTAATTTTGTATAACAATGAGGGTCTCCTTCCATTTCCATGCAATTTCCCTTTTCTCTCCCTTTCCATCCCACCTCATGTCTCTTTTTAATGTTAATCTTTTCCTCCAGCTCTTCCTCCCTGCTCTGTTCTTAGTTGCTCTCATTATATCAAAGAAGACATTTGGCATTTGTTTTTTAGGGATTGGCTAGCTTCACCTAGCATAATCTGCTCTAATGCCATCCATTTCCCTGCAAATTCCATGATTTTGTCATTTTTTAGTGTTGCATAATACTCCATTGTGTATAAATGCTACATTTTTTTTTATCCATTCATCTATTGAAGGGCATCTGGGTTGGTTCCACAGTCTAGCTATTGTGAATTGTGCTGCTATGAACATCGATGTGGCAGTATCCCTGTAGTACGCTCTTTTAAGGTCTTCAGGGAATAGTCCGAGAAGGGCAATAGCTGGGTCAAATGGTGGTTCCATTCCCAGCTTTCCCAGGAATCTCCATACTGCTTTCCAAATTGGCTGCACCAATTTGCAGTCCCACCAGCAATGTACAAGAGTACCCTTTTCCCCACATCCTCTCTAGCACTTGTTGTTGTTTGACTTCATAATGGCTGCTAATCTTACTGGAGTGAGATGGTATCTTAGGGTGGTTTTGATTTGCATTTCTCTGACTGCTAGAGATGGTGAGCATTTTTTCATGTATTTGTTGATTGATTGTATGTCGTCCTCTGAGAAGTGTCTGTTCAGGTCTTTGGCCTATTTGTTGTTCTCTATAGGTTTAATGCAATGCCAATCAAAATCCCAACGGCATTTCTTATAGAAATAGATAAAGCAATCATGAAATTCATATGGAAAAACAAAAGACCCAGAATAGCAAAAGCAATTCTAAGCAGGAAGTGTGAATCAGGAGGTATAGCGATACCAGACTTCAAACTGTACTATAGAGCAATAGTAACAAAAACAGCATGGTACTGGGACCAAAACAGGCGGGTGGACCAATGGTACAGAATAGAGGACACAGAGACCAATCCACAAAATTACAACTTTCTTATATTTGATAAAGGGGCTAAAAGCATGCAATGGAGGAAGGATAGCATCTTCAACAAATGGTGCTGGGAAAACTGGAAATCCATATGCAACAAAATGAAACTGAATCCCTTTCTCTAGCCATGCACAAAAGTTAACTCAAAATGGATCAAAGAGCTTGATATCAAATCAGAGACTCTGCGCCTGATAGAAGAAAAAATTGGCTCCGATCTACATATTGTGGGGTCGGGCTCCAAATTCCTTAATAGGACACCCATAGCACAAGAGTTAATAACTAGAATCAACAAATGGGACTTACTCAAACTAAAAAGTTTTTTCTCAGCAAGAGAAACAATAAGAGAGGTAAATAGGGAGCCTACATCCTGGGAACAAATTTTTACTCCTCACACTTCAGATAGAGCCCTAATATCCAGAGTATACAAAGAACTCAAAAAATTAAACAATAAGATAACAAATAACCCAATCAACAAATGGGCCTTATCTGAAAAAAACAATCAAGTAAGATCATCAAAAAAAATTTGGAAAAGTATGCTAATGATTTTACAGAACTCAAACATGTATTAGTAACAAGCATGTTATATGGATTTCTTGCTCTATTTTCTTAACAATTTATGAAATACAGTTTCATTTTATTAAACAGATGAGGAAACTAAAGCTCAGAGAGGTTAGTTATAAGACCGAACAAATTGGTGGCAGAATTAAAATTTTTATTCAGGATAAAGTGTGAATCCCAGAACTGCAGAAGAAAGAGAAGGAGAAGCAGTGGTGGGGAGGGAAAGAAAGGAGAAGAAAGAAGTAAAAGGAGACCATATTCTCATTCAGGATCATATAGTTACAAAGCCCAGGCTACTTATATTGAAACATAGAATAACAATTAATAGAAAATAGAATACACCAATGAAAAGAAAGAGAACAATGAACCATAATAAGCAGACCAGGAAACAAGTCAAAGTAATTGAAAGAATTTTAATTTTATAAAAGAAAAAAAAACAAATGCAATAAGGATGGATCATAAAATAAACATTAAAAAAAAAAAAAAGAGGATTCAGATCCTCATTTCAAAGCACTGACAAAATGAATTCTAAACCAAAAACAAAGTAAGAAAAACAGAAGACTCAGGGGCTGGGGCTGTAGCTTAGGTGGCAGAGCGCCTGCCTAGCACATGTGAGGCACTGGGTTCGATCCTCAGCACCACATAAAAATAAACTACATCTACAACTAAGAAAATATTTTTTTAAAAAAACACTCATCTGTGTGTGTGTGTGTGTGTGTGTATGAGAGAGTGCAGGAGCTCAAACCCAGGGTCTCATGTGTGCTAGGCAAGTACTCTACCACTGAGCCACATGCCCAGCCTTAATATATTTTTAATTCAAAGAATCTAAAAACACTTTTGTAACTCAAAATACATAATCTGAACCATATGGCAAGCAACCAAATAGGACAAAGAATTTGCCATAAACAGGAATTATTCTTAATGAATAAAGAATGTACGTACATAGTTTAAAAAACAAGAACAAACCCCCCCACCAACAACCTCTATAGGCAAAAGATATAGATGCCTGCAAAGGAAAACAGAAAAAGGTAATTTTTTAAATGTTT